AAGGCCCTCATTTCACCAAACCAGACCCTCCTGAGTTCTGATCTCAATCGCTCAGAACTCGGGCCATTCAGAAAGTGCTGTTTAAGCATCAGTCTGCCTCAAGTCCTTCCAGCTCTGCTTCTGAATCACCAAACCTGATGTCGGGTTTGTAAGATTCTCCTGAGCCTCCTATGCTAGTGGACCCTTGAGATGTTCACTGCCTCATTTCTGTTCTGTGCCCTTGAACTGTGGGTGTTTTTTTTTTTTTGAATACCTGTCATTTATTGGCAGACAGTAATTAGCTCAAAGAGGCAGGCTCTGGAAAGCACACAGAGCACAACCGGATCCTCCCGGAACACCCTCTCCATCCAGAGTGTGCCCTTCGTGCCCCACTATTATCACCAAGGCAGGTTCCTACCCACTGTTTCCACAAAGAGTTAATTCCTGGATCACTTTCAGGTGTGGTTGACAACTGCTTCCCCAATCCTTCTCTTTTCCTTTATAGAACTGAGGTTCTCAGCACTGGTGACCCCACGAAGAAAGCTAAACACTAATTATGCAATGGCTGGAAATGAAGGCACCAGAAACTTTGGTTCTCTTAGGTTTGGATCCCTAAGCCAAGTGTGATCATATCAGTCATCAACCAAACCAGCACATATGTGAAGGGGGCTCATCAATAGCATGTCAGGACCGACGGCGGACATCCCAGTTCTACTGGTTGGATCAGGAGGCACAACCAGCTCCTGACCTTTCCAGCTTCTCTGACTCACCCTCCTTGGAAGTCTCTCCTGGTTTTACTATCATGGTCCTGGGCACTTCTGGGCACTTCTGGGCACTGTGTCCTTCTGCTGAAATTATAGCCCCCAGGGACACAGAGTGAAGAGTCTGGCCCCAGGAGCCAGACAGCATGAGTTCACCTGGCCTGCACCCAGGTCCTCCCATGACCAGTTGTGTGCCTCCTTCAGTGACATCTCTCCACTTGGCCCAAGGGAAGGAACTCGCCACCATTTCTCATTAGAGGGTTCCTTTGTTTTTTCTTGTTTTTTTGAAAGCATCAGGTGGCCATGGAATGAACCGTTCCTATTCCAGTAATATTCTCCTGCTCCTTGCCTAGTAATTTTCTTTACTAGGAAAGAAGAAAAGCAGGAGGCCCCTCCAAATCAAGCACGCTCTACCTAATGAGGTTGAGCCCCCTGGATCATGTCACTTGGGGCAGAGATGCAGGTCGGGTGGTCCATAAGGCCACAGAACACTGCTGGGACTTCCCTTGCAAACCTCATGAGTGTGTCTTTGTCTCTTTCTTAGTGACTTCATCCTCTGTCTCCATCTCAAAGTCCTTTGCATAAAACAGCAGAGAAAGTCAAAGGTGCTGTCTGGGTTTTTTATGAATCATGAGTGAAAGGTCATGGTCCCTCTCACACATTTTCATGTTCTGAAGTCTCCATAGCAGTCAGTGCTTAGGACTCAATTGTCATGCTCAGGTCATTGTCATACAATGTCCAGCTACTGGGCCAGGGTGGAAGTGCCTTTCTCTGAGTGGCCCTCCCTGCTGCTATTTTACCTTCCTCCTGGGGAGCCAGCTGTGAGCCCCAAACCCAGGTATCCATTTTCTAGACATTGTCCTGTCTCTTTTGTCCTCATGGACTTGGAGATGAAGGGACCGCGGCTCTGTATCCAGAATCCATGAAGAAGCCTGAGCCCCTGCTCATGCTGTCTTGGCCACTGGATGCCTGGACTCTGCATGCTCAGATACACTCTTGCTCAAGTCCTTGCCACCACTGGTCTCTTCACAATGTTTCTCCCCACGCTGCTGCTCAATGCCTGGCTTGCTGCTGGAATAGGTAAATCAGATCGATCGCTCCTCTGTGTATTTCTTCCTTTCAAGCTATTTGTACTTTTTCACCTTCAAAGACACACAATCAATCAAACATGAGTGATTGCTGCAGCAGGTATCGACCATTTTTTTTTAAACATTGAAGGTTTGGAGGAATCTGCACAGGGCTCTGTAGTAATGGGTTGGGAAGGACTACCACTCCCAGAGTCGTTTCCTATGGGCCTCTGAAAATCTCTGTGCCTGTGTTGAGGATTCAGCCTGCATTTGTACTTGCTAACAATTTTCTTTAATGTTCCTAGAAGAATGAAACCGCAGTTTAGATCATTTTTAAAACGCATGTTTGGGGGCAGGCCCTGTGTGTCAGAAACTGGGAAGGGGAGGAGTTCTAGGCTGTTTCTTCCCCATAATGGAACTCACTGGAGAGCTAAGGATAGGGATCTGAAAGTGCTTATTTGAAAGTAAGTTTCTTAAGGGAAATTGTGATGCAACCTGTCACCCGTGCTGCTTTGAGGATGTGTCCCTGGGAAACCTAGTCTGTGGAAACTGTATGCCTCTGTATTATAGTAAGAAAACTAAAGTGTGCCCATGGGTGAAGACACATAATCACCCCAAAGCAAAATGGGAAGCCCCAGCAGTCCTGGGCTGCCCGCGGCTCCACACTGCAGCGGGAGACCTCCATCACATATTCCTGATTTCCTTGGCTGGTTTCCTACTGACTAAAAATGGCTCAACGGCTTCAAGCCTCACATCCTTCCAGGAGAGCAGGAAGAGGAGGGAAAACAGAGGGATTTCCACCCACCTCTGGCCTCTCTCCCTTCTCATGGAACTCCCCTGAAGCTGCCCAAAATTTTTTCATGGATCATTGACAGAATCAGGTGCATAGACTCCCCTAGACCAAGCACAGGCAGACGCCATTGCAATTAGCCCAAAGGGAGAGACCAAATGCGATTCATATTTGCAGCTTAGGGACAGAGGTATCTTCTTTGGACACCTGAATAATGTTAGGGTGCTGTTTGTGTGGGAAAATGAAATAAGTGCTACATAAGTGATCCTTGTTATTTCATTACAGTGTTGCCATATGGCCCCAACCTCATTAGGGGGAGTTCCAGAGCCTTCCTCTTGCCTCTTCCTCCTACATCAAATTTCTCAACAACTTGGTTTAATAGAGTCCAACAGAAATCCGTTTGCCTTTCAATGCTAAGAAGGAAAGAAATGGCCTCCCATCAGTCTCCTGCTGCCACTGCTCCATGCTGACCCCAGTGTCACTGTCCAACTGTGGCCAATGACAATCTGCAGCTGCAATGCTCTGTGGCTGCAGGACCCTTGCTGGGCATGAGGTTAGACTGCTTTGTGGTTCATGTCTAGATATTGCTTGAGCGGGGCACCACCTGGTACCCTGCACCAGCCATGGGAAAGCAACCTCGCTGTGGCCTGGGGTTGAGCTCATTTGTCATCCTCGGCCTACTCTGTTCACAGGTTCCTTTATTTTATGAAATTAATTGTCCTTGCCTCTTCCTTGATCTTGACCTTCTGGTCCTTCTTTATCTGTCTGTTTTGAACTCCAAATCTGAGAGGTCAGGACCCAGGGGATCCACTTTCACTTCCAGGGGGCATTAGATCCATTTTGCAAAATAATGCCCTCTTTCCAGCAGCCATCTTGTGCATGGTGGAGGAATAGGTAAGACCTCTTGCTAATCCAGTGGAATACAAGCACTGTCATCAAAGGATCCTTCTATTTTTTTTGTAGCCTTCTCCATGGCAACTGGATGATAGCAGGAGCCCAGAGTTTTAAATGATGGTGATGGTTATCACCATCAGAACTTGCTGTTTGAGGCAATGAACATTTATATAATTAAAAGTGAAAATCTAAAAGAAGTTTTCCTTGGACAAGAAGATGCCAGCAGATTGGTTATCTCCCTGCATGACCAAAATGTATCAGACAGCTTTCTGTTACTGCAACAACTACCTGAGATAACCAACTTGTGAAGAAAAAAGGTTTATTTTGGCTCACAGTTTTGGAGGCTTCAGCTCATAATCAACAGACCCCACTGTCTTTGAAAATGTGGTGAGGAGGGACACCATGAAGGCAGTAAAACCACTCCCCTCATGGCCACAGAGCAAGAGAGGAAGGAAAGCAAGCAAAGTCTAACTACCCACTTCTGGTGCATGTCCCTAACAACCTAGAACCTCCCGCTAGACCCCACATCCCAAAGTTTCTACCATCTCCCAATAGCACCAAGATGGGGACTATGGCTGTGACACAGGGGCCTCTGTGGGACATTTAAGATCCAAATGATGGCAAAGAATGAGCCTGGAGCTGTTGTAAAAGTGCCCCTCGTGGGCGTCACCTCTTACCTTAGTCTTAACCACCCCATTACACACCGAGGGGCCTCTGAACAGAGGGGCTCTGCTCCCTCAAGTCAGCCCTCCAGGGTCTCCCTGGCCGAGCCATCTCCTCTTGGAAGCTCAGGAGTCCTGGCCATTGTGGGGGATGCAGTACCTGAGTCCGGCTGCTCTTAGGGACTGTCACTGTAGGGATCAGGTCTTTTCTTCTTCAGAAAGTGGGGACCCCCCTGCACCCTGCAAGCTGCTGTTGCCTCCATCGGACCCCATTCCCACCATTCCTGCATGGCCTGTTCTGCCAATGTTAGAGCGGGGGTCTCCTTTGGAGGTCTCCCTCCTCCCCATCAGTGGTTGTGACCATGTGTGCAGTGCAGTGTCAGGGTCCAGAGAGTGCCTTCAGCAACACCTAACTCCACATCGCTCCATCGCTTCTGAAAACTCAGCTGTTTTGGTGGCTCCTGTTCAGATGAAAATACGTTGGTCCCTCTGATCCAGGGCTCCACACTCATGGAGTCTACCAACCAGGAAGTGAAAATGTTTGGGGAAAAGAATCCATTCTAAATACTCCAGACTTTATTTTTCTTGTCATTTTTCCTCAGAATCCAGCGACCACTGACAGGGCATTTACATTGAATTAGGTGTATGTGTGAGTGTGTGTGTGTGTGTGTGTGTGTGTGGTTTGTGTGTGTGCATGCATACATGTTATATGCACACAAACATTATTTGTATACACACACACACACACACATATGTATGCCATTTAGAGATGACTTGAGGTTTACGGGAGGGTCTGCTTGGGTTTTGTGCAGATGCTATGTTTTAATGAGGGAATCGAGCATCCTGGGTGGTTGGTGACCTCTGGGTCTCCTGAACAGATCCCGTGACCATTCACAGGAACCACTATGTTATTGTGCCTGAAATTACACCATGAACATGTTTCCCTCAAGGGTGCTTTAAAAGAGCGTGTGCTGCCGGAGAGAAACTGTGAACTCATTGACACTGAGGTGTAATTGACTTGCTGACTTAAACTTCTTGTAAATCTCTGGATTCATTTAAGATGTCAAAGGGTTACTTCAAATGCACTTGAATTTTTCCTAAATGGGGTAAAAATAAGCTCTGCCACCCACCAAATTATACATCAAGGAACCAATTTTTGCCCTCTTTCAGGTTTAGAGATGAACACTTTTCCTTGTTTTCAGAATAATTTTATTTTTGCTGTTGACATTTGCTTTTTTCACATTCCTCATACAGAAAAAGTTTTAGACCAACACTTGGCTACTTAAATTTTAATTAATTGAAATTAAACACAATTAAAAATTTAATTCCTTCTTCGAGCAAGCCTTATTTCAATTTCTGAATAGCCGTTATGTGCCCAGCAGTTACACACTAGAGAGGATAGGTAATAGAAGAATTCCTCATTCTGGAATATTCTACTAGGCAACTGTGAAGCAAACCTCAAACCCTAAGTTACTGTCCACATCAAAGCATTGGTGTTGGGTTGAAATGGCCACCAGAACATATTCTATGTGAGATGTCCCCAAGAGCACAAAGCCTCTGCCCAGGGGGACTGTATAGGCCCAGATATAAGAATGTCCATTGAGGCATTATTTGTCAATGACCAACAAACGTGTCCACCCACAGGAAACTGGAAAATAAAATGTGAGATTCAGGTCCATAATCTCTTCCTATTTCCCTGAAATTAAAAAATCTCTGATGACCAAAGGGCTGTACTTGGGGACAGGGGTGTTTGTGTTTTTATCCCAAAGCTCATTAGGCAGCAAAACCTGAGCTGCACTGGCACGAGGCTCTTGTTTTATTTGTGCCACTGAGTGTAAATTCCCGAATGACTTGCTGACCCCTCATTATGGCGATTGATTATTCAGTGCTGCCCCAGACCTCCACAGGCACATAACGGCGTGGTTGATAAATGTGTTACTCGTAAACTCCCAGCAACTTTTAAATCCTGAACTTTAGCTGGACCCACAGGGTTTGGAAAACGGATGGTGGGTCTATATTCATCAACAGCCACCCAGGAATAAATCAGATGTGCACATGTAAACATGGTACATAAAGCAGATGAGAGAAGGAAAAATGCAGAATAAAATAGCATTCTGTGGCCAAAGCACTGTCTCCCTGCAGCATCCCTACAAGATAAACCCTCCTGGTGCCTTCTCCCCACCACCTGGCCCCACTGTGTCTCCTGCTGATGGATTGTGCTTATCAGGGCTGCAAAGAACCTGTGCAGATCAGTGCAGCCCGGATAAATGGGTTGTGTGTGGGGTGACAACTTGAGCTCCCTGCATCTGCCAGAAGGAATTCTTCATGACGGACAGGAGCATTCCTCATAGCACACAGCTGTGGTTTCCTGTAGCCTCTGGACCCACAGTCTTCGTGGGGACCTGTCCAGTGCATCATCTCAGGTCCCAGTCTCAACACATTGGAAACCTGGCGACTCCAGCAGTTTTTGTTCCTCAAGGTTTCCAGGTGATTCTGATGTTAAAAACCACTGACTATGATGTCAACAATCAAAAAGCTTAAACATCAACAGCAGGGAATATCACCTGTGGGTTGTTCTTTACACCAGCGGCTGTAGGTAAGCCCAGAGAAGGTGTCCACTGCCAGAAGGTGTCCACTGCCTGGGGGTTGGAGCAGGCCATCAGATGATCTCTGCAATCCCAGGGTCTCTGTCACTCCCAGCAGGGCTCTCCTCCTGCCTCAGTGTGTGAGAGGTGAGTTCAGGTATCGATTAAATTAAAACGGGCAGCGCACCAGCCACAGCATTTGCAGGCAAGTCACTGAGCTGGTGTCTGGCTAATGTTCATCCATTCCAAATGGATTCGCCCCTCACTTATCACCTGGAGGGAAGGAGCCTAGCTAATGAGCAATGGCCCAGGAAAAAAACGAAGGAGAACAAAGCAAATTTTGTGCAGTGTTAATAACAGTCCTGAAAAACAGAGGGTCAAGCAATTGCCTTCTTAGGCCACCTCTCCTCTGAGGCATGGCATGTTAGCACAGCTGCCAGGAGCTCTGAACGAGGCCCAGATGCAGTCGACTGACCAGGGTGAACTGAGATCCAGAGCTGAAGCCTCAGCACCTGCTCAGATTTTCCTGGCCTTTCTAAATTTGAAAGCAGAATTGAACCAGCAGTCAAAAGCTCAGGGCCTCATCGCTCCCCTGCAGTTACCTACTTCCTTCTGAATAGCTCTCTTCGCAGAAGCTCTTCTGTGCAGCAAGGAAGTTAGAAGTTAAGAACGCTGTCCCCAAATGGCAATTATCCTCTGGTCACTCCTCTCGCTGAGGGGACCAAATTGTTTTGTAATATCTCATTAGGCAGCCGATAATTAAGAATACAATTAGCAATCCTTGAAATGGCAAGCTGCTCTCCCAGAAAGGATTAAAAATATAGTAAGAATGGAGGCGATCAGATAAAGGGGCTGTCAAGGAAGAGACCAGCTAGGGAAAGCC